CCAAGCCCAAGAGGCGTGGCGCCGTCGCAAGCTGAAGAGCTACATTTCTGACTTGAAGCAGCGTGCGTCTGCCTTCTTTTTGTCTTTGACATCATTCAGCAAAAGCCGGCAAGGCTTTGTCCCTGGCCGGGCGTTCCTCCGCGTGCCAGTACCACAGGACCTTGGCATATGATGCGTTTTCTGCCAACGCCGGAAATATATGGTATGCGACGCGACGCACTCTAGCCACTCAAGACAAAGTGCAAAAGACCTGGCCCTGCACTTCTGATGCTTCAATTGAGAGACCTTCGCCAGGCTTGGCAAAAAATTGCAGGCCTTTTTTTCCGCGCGAGATGTTTCAAGTCTCCTGTCGTTCTGCAGGCTGTGTCTCTGCTTCAAACCTCGACCTTTTGGCCCTTCGCCTTGGACAGCAGCGTGTCCTGGTAGTTCTTCAATGCCCTGCTGCGTTGGAATATTGGATTTTGGACTCAGAAGCGGGGACCGCTCCACCATTCCGGCAAGCCGTGTGTTTGAATTGCGCCGCGTTCTCACTCCATGGAACTTGTGAGCACCACATCTCTCTTTCCACCGCCATCGTGCCTGCTCCACCAGGCCAAAGCGTAAAGAAGCGAGCTTTGCCAAGCCTTTTGAAAAAAACCCTCGGGCGCCCGCCGTCTCTGACAAGAAACAGCAAGCCCCAAGGGTTGTGACTGGGCTGCACTCACTGCTGCCCCCTTTGTGACAAGGAACAGGTCGACGTCTATTTGCTTGCGACATTTGATCTGCCGACCATGAAGACATATCTTCCAGACCTGGCTGCCGGATTGGCCTACCAAATTCTGCGTGAATGCGAGGTGCAGGCAGTGAGCTAAGCTTTTCATGGTTAGTTGGTGCTGTACAATAAGAAAGAACGGCGAATAACTATGAACATATTACAGCAGAACAGCCATGCTTTTTCAATGGGCTTTCTTGCCAGTGGACGCGTGCATTAACTTTGAACTTTTGCGAAAGGCTTTGCTGATACAGCTCTGTAACCCTAAGATTAAGACTACCGGGAAAGTCGTGGAGATGCCAGAGGCCGAATGCGGTATGATCGTTACGCATCCTTGAAATTCTCTCGCCCCCGACTCAATCAGGCTGCTGACGCAGGCAATGGCCGTGATGACCAAGAGGGTGAAGAACCCAATAACAGTCACCAAACAAGTTTCTCCTTTCAAAGACTACACAAGGCTTTTCTTTGAACCCTTGCGTTGCCTTTACGCGCTAGGAGAGCGCTGCTGATGATGCATGCTGTTTGCCAGAGGTCCGGGACTGCTCCCCGCAGACACGCGCAGACAGGCCGAGGAGCTGTCTCAAAATCAAGTCCTGTTCAGGTGGCCAACGACGTCCGACGCCTAACGGCGTGCCGTGTTCAGCCTCAAAGCAACCTCTGCTCCACATTCTCTGCTGCCGAGGCCAAAAAAGAGAAGACTTACCAGCGCCTATATGGCTTCAAACCTTGACCGCCATGAGTGGAAAAAGGAAATCTTGGCCGACAAATTTGGTCGTCTTGCGAAGCCCAGCAATAACCTTCAAGTTTCCGCTTCCTGTTGCCACACCGCCTTCATTCTCTTGAGAAACCTTTTGCAAGCGCTCATGGGGGGCAGGCGCTGCGCCCTCCCCCCAACCCCCCCTCCCGCGCAACGAAATCTGCAGATAGTATTCAACGTTCCTGCCATGAAATCAGGCTTTAAGCGGAACCTTGCCCACGAAATCTGCAAATACTATTCAATATTCTTGCGACGAAATTTGACTTCAAGCGGAACCTTGCCTGTTGAACATTCAAGCTGCTGTTGTTCTAGAAAAGAAAGCCAAACGGCCAGGAAACAACAACTTAGTATGACACAAAGGAAGATTTGAGCGGAAACTTGCCTTTTAAAGACTAAAGCTGCTGCAGGAAGAGACAGGAAACATGATTTAATATAACGCATGAAAGCATTGACAAAATGTACGATATAGAATGAAATTGCGTCAATAAATGGGGGAAGGGGACCCAAGGCAGCAGCCATCACTCCAACCAGGGGGTGTGGGGGGAGGGTGGCCAGGAAGAGCCAGTAGAGGAAGACTAGCAGGGTCACCAAGGGGTGGCACTAATGAATGATTGCCATGGTGACTTTGCTGGGACTTGGCACATGTGGGTGTGAGGGTAGGGTGGTGAGAGAGAAAAGAGATGGAATCATGGGTATGGTAGGTAGAAGAAAGTGCAAAGAATGTGTTGCAACAAATGAGCCTCATGCATAACTTATGCATCGCTGTTTGTCCTCACTAAGGGTGTATGTTGAGCACATGTGTAATTTCCTAGGCGTTCCCAAGGGCAAACCAAGTGGCATCAACTACGTACTGGTGCTACTGGCAGCATGGCAGCAAAGGGTGGGGGGTGCAGGTGTGTGTTTGGCCCTATGCATACTGTGTAGGCGGTGGTATGGGCAGCGTAGCAAAGCTGTATACTGTACACAAAGCTATTTTGGACCAACCTCCCCAACTACAGTTTGGAGTCTTGCCTTTGCAGTGTACCCATGGCTATGTCTATGGCAACATTGCTGGACCAAAGCTATGAGGATGGTGATGGTGTTGTGGCACAGCAACCCCCCACCAAGAGGTGCAAAAGGGCAGACAGCCCTAGCTACATGAAACTATCCCCAAAGATCACATGACAATGACAAACTGGCTGACTACACCAAGAGGACTTCTTCCATTTGTGAAGAATGTGGAGACTGGCATAGTTCACTGTGGCTTTTGCAGAATGAGGATGCTGACCTTTCCCAAAGCTTCAGGCCAAGATGAAAAGCAATCATATGCGTGTCTGGCTGTGAGAGCTTTCAATCTGTGTGCAATGGCGGGGAAAATCGTGGGGCTGTCAAACATGTTAATCACTCAGGTTCGTTCAGAAGAATGTAGTACATACCTGAAAGCATTAGCAGTGTGGAGGCGCTGCCCCCTCCCCCCAACCCCCCCAATTCCTGCCATGAACTTTGACTCTGAGCGGAAACTGCCTGTTAGCCAGGAGGCCAGGCAGGAGGAAAGAGCTTAGTATAACGTAGTAAAGAAAGGGAAAAGTTGCCGATCACGCACATGCCCCATCCCTGTAGGGTTGAAAAAGGTTTCCTCACTAGAATTGTGCGTGGCCACTTGCATTGATGTAATGTGAGTCAAATTGCTTCAGCCATCTTCCAAAAGGTGCAGCAAATAGTCAATCTGCGAGCCTTGCAACAAATTTTAATACGAACCCAAATGCCAGCAGATCCGAAGCCCAGCCCAAAGGGCAAAGACCTGCTGCTCCCAGAGGGCTCATTCCCAGAGGGCTCGTGGCAGAATATTCTTTAATTACACCGGGTAGAAAATAGATGGCGCAACTCAAACCGAGACGGGACACACCGTGATGGCGCAACTTGCATGTGCATTTGCGCCAACTTAAGCAACCAAAATTTGGCAAACTGGAAAACGCTAATCACTTAAAATACCAAGGAAGGTTTGCAGAGAGATAATGAAATTCTAGCACGTAGATGGCGCATTGGTCATCTTTCAACCAAAAGTAATTTAAGGAGTATTGCAATACCTACAGTAACTTGAGCATCATCTGGATAAGAAATTGCAGATGTGCAAGATAGAATTGATTCTGCAATGACCTATGCAAACATGAATGCAAACACTAACAATCTGTCTGCAAGAGGCTCCTGCAAGAATGCTTTGCGCCATGTATGGCCCACATCCACTGGCAAAACATAGGCAAACAACCGCACTGTTCTCGCAGTCGATTCTGACAGTTTTAAGGGCGTTTTTCGTGTTCATTGATGGCGCAAATGACTGTCGTTAATGGAACCCTATAGATGAAGAATATATTTTGCTGCGCTCCAAGAGCTGCTGGCTGTACATGACAACGCCCAGAAAACCCAAGATGCTGCTGCAATGCTCGCTTGTGCAACAATGCAGCGAGCTCGACTGTGACCTTGTCAGAAGACTGGAGTGCAGAGGAGGCAGTGAAGCAGCAGGCTGTGAAGATAGCTGAGACTTGATCAAAAAGGGCTTGCGCATTCTCGCCCCTGATCCTTCTGACTCGGCATCTGCCGTTGCCACCCACTTGCCGCCTCTGACGCCTGGTCCACCAGGCTGATCCTCATCGACCCGAAGTGTTGGTCGCCGGAAAGCTCTCAACGGCAAATCAACATGCCCGTTCTCCACAACAAGCCATTCAGTGTCTTCGAGGTGAGCAAGGCCTTGTTGGATCAGGCAAACTTTACGAGCCATGATGTCTTCTTGATCTTCGGCCGCTGCAAGGAGAACCGCAAGATGATCGAGACTGAGTGGCCGACGTCAAAGACAAGCATGGGGCGATTTCGGCACCGCAAAGAAGTTCAGATAGTCTATGATCGGAAGAGCATTGGAAAGAGATATGGGAAACAAGGAGCATTTGCAGGCTTGAAGATGCACGAGTCAATGTACCTGATCAGTCCGAAGGTGAGCTGGCAGAAGCTGGTGCGTGTCAAGGAGCGGAAAGTGCACGGCGGCAAGACAGACGAGAGTGTCTTGTGGAATGTGGCCGTGCGAATGCCAGGCAAGTTGACGCTGGCAACTTTGGATGACTAGCAAGGCGTCCTATTTTTGGATGTAAACCTATAAGTTGAAGGGTGGGGAACTCATATGAACATTGTGCAATTATATGCTCTGATGTTGCCAAGCCAAGCCAGTTGGGCAAGTGGCTGGAGAAAAAGGGAAGTGGACAGCGCCAGGACCAGAATTAAAAAAATACTTTCAAACTGATGCCGCAAGCCCCCACTATTCACAAGCCAGTATATATAATATATAAAGTATATATTATTATTGGACGTGACTAGACCTCTTTTGGCTTCAAGTTTTCCTTCCACAGTTAAAATAATTTAAGGGCGGCGTGGCAGCTCGGTCGTCTGCGGAAGCGGTAGTCAGCTCTCGCAACAATCCTTCTGCGTGTGCCAACCACACTGACAGCGACCACGCTTTTTCGACAGGCACTTTTCACGGTGGTTCGTGACCGCAAGCGAGCCTTGAAGGGCCAGTGGGAGGAGTGAGCAGCTCACGAGCTGCAGTTTTGTGATACCTCTCAGAGAGGATTTCAAACAGCGCCCAGGTTGGTTCAGAGTGTTAGCCCCCTAGCGTATGACAGCTTCAGATTGCTGCAGGATTTTGTTGGATATCTCACAGATATCGATTATATATACTTTTCACCTGGAATTTTTCTTGCTGCACTGCCCTCCACAATAAAGAAAAACAAAATGCATACTTTGCAACGAACACATTCTTACACTCCCCAGTTCGTAGAATACCAATCACCTGAAGAGGCGTGGAAACTACATCTGCGGATAGCCGCCCATATCAGTTGAGTATATGTTTGCTCGAAACCACCGGAGCGAGCCGCCACAAACAGCCTTACCTTGCCTTCCTCAGGAGCGAGCCTTTGGTGATGAAACTGTGCGACGCACTTACTGGAAGGCCTGACATAGACTGATGTGTGACAACAGAAGAAAAATTGGATCCCGCCAACAGTGTGCATTCTCACTCATGGTCACCCTACAACGCATTTCCTGTCCCACCTCTCCCCATGTCCGGGGCGTCCGCTAACCCCGGATCCGTCGTTGATGGCCCGTGAAACGCCTTAGGAGCTGAAAGCCTCCTTGACGCGAGAGGCGTGGGTGAAAAATGGCAGGAAAACGGTGCAGAGGGGTGTGTCTTTGAATAGAGTGGCCCCCACGTATCCGTACAGACAGCGGTTTTCGGAGTTCCAGTTGCGGTGCATGAAGGCATACTTGATGGTGAGGAAGGTGACTAGTGACCATGAAGTTTGCCTAGATATGGACATCGGACGGTTTACCTCGCAGGAGAACATGGTGCGAACACAGTGCAGAGCTCAGGACTTCGCAAGGTGGGCTCTTGGACCTTTTGAAACAGTGTGAGGGTCAGGCTCGAGGGTGATTCCGCATGGTGTTTCACCGTTTCATGTCAACAACATGTTTTTGTTTGTCATTGTTTTATTATTTTTCATGTTTTTTTTTAGGTTTTCAATACGGTGACTTTCAGTCACTGTCCACCAAGTCTGCATTTCTCCCCAAACAGTTTACTGTTGGGGTTCTATCTTAGGAAAAAGAGCTGGCCACATGGCCGCGCCCCTGAACTCTGTGGCCGGGCTCTGTGGCCGCGCTCTGTGGCCGGGTGTTGTCCTCCTTGTCTTCTCTTGTCCTGCTCTTCTCTTGTCTTCTCTTGTGGCCGAACAATTAGCGATGTCGATGCCGACAAAAATCATTGATTAAACAAATTTGCTCTTGGGAGGGAAGGTAGGGCGTACCAAGAAATCGTTCTTGACTATTATTGGTCCCAATGAATCATTTTGAAGCTGTTTGGGGTCTATGCTGGTATAATTCGTGCAGAACGGCAGCTGGACCGCTGGATTCTCTCCACGTTTTTCCTTTCTCAGGAATGCGCGAGTCGCAGATCAGCAACTCATGGAGGGAGTGAAATCATGGCAGGCACGGGTGCTGTCCATGTGGCAGCTGCATCCAGGTGCTGTCACTGTGGCACCAGAAAAAGGCTGCAAGTTTAGGGAACATGTTTCTCATTTTGTCGCGTTGTCAGACATAGGTGTGACACATGACACCTTTTATTCACAGGCAGATGAACCTTGAGAATCTTGAGAATCTGAGAAGCTCCATTTTGTTCTTGACCGGAGATGCAGCCAGTGCATGCATTTACATCCACGCGGGAGAGAACCTTCTCCCCAGTCACGTACATGAGCTGGGACAATTTCTTGTTTGCTGTGAGACCGTGACAGGAATGGCTTGACAAAGAAGATGATACAGGGATTGATGAGATTTGTAGCCAGCTCGGTGCCAGAGCCTCAGGATGCCTCAGCGTACAGGTGTGGGGCAAAAACAACCAAACCAAACGATGTGAGGTGAGATGAAGCTCCCCTCATTGATCTCTTCACCAATAAAGCCTCTGAGTCGTGACCAATAAAGGCCTCTGAACATTTTTGAGCTCTGCACAACGAAACATTATGAAGCATTCGCTGGAAGAGCCACCACACAAGGCCTTGCTGGCCAGGATGCCATGCGCACCTTTGTCCAGAGCGAGCCGTATTGCCATCCAGGCAGTAGATGGCGACTGGGTTGTTGCACTCACCAGTTCTTCCTGTGGTCAGAAGGCCATTTCCAACCAAACCACAGTCAAAGGTTATATGACTTCATTGATGGCTGCCGAAAATCATAATCAACGCGGTCAACAAGCGCAGCTTCCATGCGTGTTCGTGTTTCCATCACTTGTGGGCTACTCGTTTCGGCAGGTGTCAAAGCTTTCAGTGTGGTGCTACGGGGATTTAAACTTGACCTGCCATGCTTGAGCCACAACAATAGAACAGATAGAACACGTATTGTATATAGTTGATGTTCATGAGAATCATTGCCTATATGGGCTTATAGCCTATAGCTACATATATACTTTAATAAAACTGAATCAATAGTAATATTGACACGGATGGTACTGATGATATATTTATATACAACATTTTGCACCACTCAACAGCCCCGAACTGATAGTTGTCGCAGTACTCACCAACTGATCAAGGAAGAAGATCATCGCACACGAACATTTCAAGTTACAAGACGTTCTGATAAACCTAGAACGCGATTCTAGCGGGCAGCGAGTTGCAAGTCCCGCTATTCCATTGTATTATGTTAATTATACTATATTATACTATGACTTTCGGGGGATGTAACATGTTTGCATGTGAATCAAAACCTGATCACTGATCACCCTTTAGCTGGGAAATTCTGCCTACTTTTGGAAGCATAAGTTTGATACCCGTCTTTTGTCTCTACTTGAGTCCACAGATCCTGCCGTGTATGAACAGCAGGCTGTGCTCACTGACCAGGCTGTATCCCGAGATTCTATTAGGCTTCAACTTTGTGACTTGACTCAAGACAAAACTCGGTAGAAGCAGATCGGGTGGATGCACTGGATCCACCTGCCAACCCTGCAGAGTTTTTCCTCTTCCATTGATCGATCGGTGACAGGACCTGGGTCTTCATTCCTGGTGTAGGTTCAAACAAGTTCAACATGTGAACAACCACTCAGATGAAGTGAGATGTTATTTTAGTTTCTGTTCTGGGTATAATATAACCCATTTGCATGACTGATCTACCAGAACATGACCATGTAACATCTATGAAACCCAGAACTGATATATACCAGAACAACCAGAACCGCTCCAGTTATCCCGACCGATCTTTTCTTCCTTGAATTGCACCTCAGTCCTGTTGATCTCGCCAGCACCAGGCCGCTGCCCGCCGCATGTCTGCCATGCGGAGCGCGGTGACGCATGCACTGGAGCGGCAGACGGACCGTCTGGGTGCCGACGGCCCGTCGTGACATGTCGTGACTGTCCCCTTTTGATACACTCAGACGGTACATCATCGGTGTTTGTCGTGTTGATATACATCCTGAAACTGTCAGAAGCCGTGTCAAGATTAAATATATCCGGGGTCCAGGGGTTCCCTGATTGTTGCATTTTGGGGTGTTGGAAGTACTTCTGTACAGCAAAATTGCATTTGAAAATCCAGTTTCCGAGCATTAGGCGGATTGGTATGAGCTATTACTGTATCACTTTGGTCGCTCCATACTCGGTGTTGACTTGCTTGACTGTGTGCCCAATGCCATTCATGTGCCATTCATGTGCCTCAACACAGTCCCAGCAGGTTTGCACGACTTTATGTGCCTCCAGAGGGCTGTTGTGCACATAGGGTTCGAAATGGTTCGACACCTTTTTTGAGGGTCTTTCTCTCAGGACCTTCAGCGAAAAGCAGTGGCATGGGGTGAGAAGGCCGCGCAACAGGTGCGGAAATTGACCATCCTGTGAGCGAACTTGTGAACCATCCCGGAAGGACAGACTTTTCACAAAGAGTTTCAATGACATTTTCAGCATACCCCGCAGATCCCCCACAGCTTTTCAGCTTTCTTTGACCCAAGTGGATGGGGTCTTCAGACCGGAAAGGCCAACCGAGACTCTCCGTGCGACGGACGAAACGTCGTTCCGGATGCAGGAAGGCACAGCAAGATCCGAACTGGAGGCTCAAAAGGCGAGCATCGAGCATCGTGTTCAGATGGTGTCGAATGGTGTGGAAGCACCATACAGCAAGATTGCATACATTTCCTCATGGTAGTCGTTCATGATATAGCGGTGTTCGGATACTTAGAAGCAAGGCTTTTCGGTTTCGTGGGGGTTGTCCTTTGCAGCGTTCCTATCTTAGACTTGGAGTCTCGGAGTCGCATTGGATGATGTGGCCGTTTAAGGGATGGCCACGTGTGGCAAATCGTCTCATCCCTGGGAGGGCCACCGTCCATGCACGTGGAACACGCACAGTCGCATAGATGACCACCAGCTCCTGCACCGAAATCCGGAGTTTGGAGGATTGATGAGGATTGATTGAATAGACAAAAAGTGACAAAAGACATTAAATAGTATGACATCAACATTTATTTGTAGTCAATCAAGGGACAGGATGAGCCAAGCTCCATTTTCGCCAAGGCTGCTCTTGAAGAGGCCGCTGCCCGGGCCCAGCAGGCAGAGGAGGAGTCCGTGCAGGGTTGATTGTTGATCGGGTTGTAGGGGGAATTGGTGACCTGTTCAACTCAACATGCAGGCAACTTTGGCCAATTCTGTGCCGAGGCAGCATACTCTCCAGGAGAATGGCCTTTCCAGTTTGACCCAGTAGTGGACGTCTCTCTACATCCAGCACTGTGCGATGTAGTTGCTTGTGTCCAGAAACATCTTTGTGTGGAGGCACTGCTGCCTCACCACCAGCGTTTGTATTCACATTGGCAATATTCTGGAGAACATGTCAAGCCTTCGTTCTCTATGTTGCTACGGATGGCGCAGGCTGCACGCTAGCATTCCTGGAGTAGGTAAGTTTACGTGAGACCGATTCTTCTGGGTGGACAGGTACCAGTACATGACATGTGTTGAAGACTTCTTCCGACCACCTTTCTCACACCTCCAGCAGATTTTTGGTTCAGTGGACAGACCATCCCCCCTGGGCCCCCAGCAAGTGCTTGACTGAGTGTTTGTCTCCATGCTAAGGTTATCTAAGGTCCGTCATTTGCGAAAACCTTTACCTGTTGCCATATCCTTGAAACTACACACAGACATCCCTGCTTTAGCTAGACCACTCATCTCACATGCCATGTCCGCTGCTTTCCATATTGATGGCCTCAAAGACCCTGCCTTGTCTTGTGCCAGCCTGGCGGGTTGGAGCACCACCCGAGTCATGTCCACAGTTCCGGCTGAGCTTTATGCTTCATGGCTTCCAACCAACAATTTTGGCCAACTCGATGGTTTCTCAAGCCTCAAAGGCTTTGGGGTGGAAGACCTGTCATTTGCTTGTATATCGAGCTGGAGCTCGCCCAGGAATGTGTCTTGGGGGTTTGAGGTTCCTATGACTTGCCACAACTTGCCAGTCATATGAGCATCGAATCAACCTGACGAGTCTTGTCCATGTTTTGCCTGTTGCAGCTCTCAAAGCATACCACCTTGCTCAGATCACAAGTCTAATCTCTGTTCCATTTCACCCCTTTTGCCCAGTTGAGGTTGATCCCAAATACACTCATGTGCAAGCAGCACTTCTTGTTCTACAGGTTTCTTTCTCAGGGTCCCTCCCTTAGGAAGAAGGTCGGGTGGGAAAATGGAGGATGCGCTTGACATAGGGTCCCCCAAGAAAGATATTGACACGGGGGATGGAGCTTCAATTGACGCCAGCTTCTATACAACAGGCGTTACTGTTCCCTGGCAATTCTCTGCTCACCTTGCTTGAAGAAGTTCACACTACTCAGACACATGGATCGGCACCTGCTTGAAAGTCTAACAAGTCAGAAGTCTGGCCAAGACCCCGTTGATTCAGAAGTCAGAAGCAGCAAATATCCATCCTGAACTTTTCCGCCTTCCATTTCTTGGGAAGGCCGATTTTGCGGGATTTCTGACATCAAGGTGGTTTTGGGTTGGTGCATGCCCCAAAGAAAGCAACAAACATATGCAGCATCATATGCACTTTTACTGTAGAGAACCCTATCTGAGACAGTGATGTTTGGAAAGCGGCGGACATGGCATGTGAGATGAGTGGTCTAGCTAAAGCAGGGATGTCTGTGTGTAGTTTCAAGGATATGGCAACAGGTAAACGTTTTCGCAAATGACGGACCTTAGATAACCTTAGCATGGAGACAAACACTCAGTCAAGCACTTGCTGGTCTGTCCACTGAACCAAAAATCTGCTGGAGGTGTGAGAAAGGTGGTCGGAAGAAGTCTTCAACACATGTCATGTACTGGTACCTGTCCACCCAGAAGAATCGGTCTCACGTAAACTTACCTACTCCAGGAATGCTAGCGTGCAGCCTGCGCCATCCGTAGCAACATAGAGAACGAAGGCTTGACATGTTCTCCAGAATATTGCCAATGTGAATACAAACGCTGGTGGTGAGGCAGCAGTGCCTCCACACAAAGATGTTTCTGGACACAAGCAACTACATCGCACAGTGCTGGATGTAGAGAGACGTCCACTACTGGGTCAAACTGGAAAGGCCATTCTCCTGGAGTGTATGCTGCCTCAGCACAGAATTGGCCAAAGTTGCCCGGATGTTGAGTTGAATAGGTCAATTCTACGCTTGTTGTGTGAGGTGAAGAAGTCCATGAGACCATGAGGCAAGAAAGCACCATCGAAAGCAGAGAAAAACATACAGCAGACCCGTGAAACCGGATGCATGTGAAAAATCGATCGACCGATGGTGTCCGGATGCATGAGGGCATTGCCATCTTCTCCATCCAAACCTCCACATTTCAGCTCGCCAGCTTCATGGGTCAGCCAGAAACAAGACGACATGGACTGCTTTGCCGTTTTCGGCGGTGCTTTCAGTGCTTTGGCCATCCCAGCATCCCTTTTTCGCACCGACCCCCACGTGAGCGGCTTTGGTCGAAGGAGTGCACAGCTCTTTGCAAAGAGGTGGAGACCAAGGAGGTGGGAAATGCGGCGAGATGCTTGGAACTGTGGGTCGTGCGGCATTGCCAGCCAGTCCCAAGTTATGGGAGACAACGAGTTGGTGTGAGATAATTTCCAGGGATCTTGTGAATCTTGTGGGCGTCCTAGAATTGATATGAACACATGTGAACACAAGACTGTGAAAGAGAACGACTTCCAGGCTGCCTACGACCTCTCATTGGATTCTCAATTAGGCATTTGAGCAAAAAAGCACGTCAAAAACATATTATATAATATATAATATATATATATATACCGACCACCGACCTTTCTTGTCCTTTGTGGTGGCTGCTAAGCTCCCCTTTGCGAGTCTTAGGACTTAGGACATGACTCTGTCGACTCCATGTTTGAAGTCCTGTTTGGGATTGAAGATCCAAAGATCTTTTTGTATCTTTTTCAAGGTGACACGCTTAGCCATTAGTTTTAGACATTCTTGTACACCCTCGAAAACAATCTGGACATCGACGATCAAAGGATTTTTTCACTTGTCATTTGGGCGAGGGTTTGAGGGCTGACCACCATGAGACCTCTTGAGTTGGACCGTCCGTTGCAGTCCGTTTTGGGCTCGAAGACTCGAGCCAGGCTCAGCTGGAAGGCAATCGAGAAAGCCTTGAAGAGCAGCTGAACTTTTTGGAGGTGCTCAGTTCATCTCAGTTCCTCTTTCCACGAGCAGAATTGAACAACGTCCCGCATGGCCAGGAGAGGTCTGGTTTTGGGGTGGTTTTTGCTGGTTGAGGGGGACGCTGATGCGTAATGCCCCCGGTGACTGAGCAGGGTGTCTCAACGAGAACAGATCAAAAGTTCAACCCAATGAGAATCAGAGGTTTCAAAAGTGATCTATCTATAATCGACATCAAATGATAAGGCTGACGGCAAACTCTAGTGACGGGTTTTGCTGATTCCTTTTTCATTAGAACTGGAACCATGTTCTCCGAGCTTATTGGACACTTGTACACCTATATTTGCGCAAGTGTACACTGAACTGTGCTCAAACGTGTTCCTCGGACTTGCTCATGGTTGTCATCTCTCGTCGCTAGGCATCAAAACTTCGAGAACAAGAGATGAAAGCGAAGCAGCGTGCGCCGCCCTCAACGGAAGAACCATGAGTATAGAACAGGTCAAATTATTGTTGCATGGAGCCTAAGACCTACTGTAGTGGATGGGAAGCAATAATGTAAGGACTTCCAAGTCAAACTGCTTGTAGAAGTCTTGCCACTGTTTGACATCAAACAACCATATATGGACATGTATGGACTATATTGACGTGTTTTTGGCTCGGGGACTCTGTTTCATGGGTTTCGGAGTTGAGATCACCAGGAGGTTCACCCCTTTGCTCATCTTCGCCCACCTCGCTGCTTTGAACTGAGGTGCTGAATGAGTCTGAGGCTTCCTTGAGGAAAGATCTCGAACAGGCGAAGTTCCCCCCCTTAGACTGATTGAGAAAGGTTCCCCCCTTAGTACAGTAACTGATTTAAAATGATTTAAAGGGATCCCGGATGACCTTCCGTACTTTAATGCTTGCAGTCTGGTGGCAAGTTCTTGCTAAGATGCTAATTTTGTAGCTACTACATGTCGAAAGAAGGTTCCCACAACCGCGGTCAAATAGTGATTCCCCATTGTAAGGGCCAATGGAACCGAGTCGGGGCTCGTTTCAGTCAGCATTTGTTCAGCTTTGCCAGGCCCGTGCAGATGTTGTTGGGAACTGAGTGAGGCCAACGTACTGTGCAGCAGCAAACGTGCTGTGCAAAAGAAAGGGCCGAGTAAGCTCAAAGACAAGTGCAGGTCTTTGCCTAGCTCCCTGAGTGCCCAGACTGTGCCTTCCCGATACAGTCAATTCTGCAATGATCGGATTCTGGTCTCCAACTCACTTCTCGTCAGAAAAGACACAGCACCTGTGGCCCACACCTGACCGAGGCCCGCATTGATGCAGAAAGATTTGCAGCAGAGAGATCTGCCGCAGACTCAGGGAATGAGGAAAGCTTCGGCCCCCCAATACAGATCGTTTCTTTTGGATCCAGCCAACCTCATTCCCTACCTTTCGTCGCACCAGTCAGAAGATGAAGGAGTCGTTTCGGTGTTCAGGTGTTAGGCGAACCGGGGATCCCGAGGTGTTCGGCGATCATTGAGTCGGAAATCTGTTACCACAGCCCACGTGGCACACTGTACTTTTGACAGCTTCTGACTGTTGCAGCACACTAAAGGTCAGAACCTCTAGACAACTTCTTGGCTTTGCGGTGCTCATCGGACGACTCGTACATGTTTCGCTGTTTCGCGGGTGTGAACCTGGCCTGCATTGTGGATTTCAGCTGGAAAGAAGGCAGAATCCACTGATCGTTCCTGTCCGGCTCAACTGACCAGAGAAGGCTCGGCTCCCTACCTCCTCAGGCCACCAACGCGGCAGCGGCCACCCAAGCAGAGCAAGAACGGCTCAAAGAGCTGTTGGCCGAGGCAGCTGATCTCGGGGTGTGGGTCCAGAACAGGTGAAGATGCTTTTCTTTTGCTGCGGAGCCTTCACATTTATATATAAATAGCAGATTATAGCAGCTGTCACAGCATGTCACAGCCATCTGGCAGGGAAGTAGCTTGTCCTGAACTCCCCATTTGAAGAATTGCCTGCTAGCTTGCTCAGGACGGTGGTTGAGAACTAGCAGGTCAGATTGGGGTCATTGAGATCAGTTGCCAGAAGTGAAGCCCAGAAGCTGTTCTCCAGGCCCAGAGAAAGATCGATGAAACCAAGTGCGGACCCAAGGAAGTAGCGTGGACGTGCTCGTGAGCAACGTGTATTCCCAGAGAACCAGGTTATTTGGTGTTTCATGGTGATGTTCATCACTGGGTCATCCACCAAGTTGACTTGGAAAACCCATGAAAACCCCTGAGCAAAATCAGACGGAGCCGCGTTGATTCCAGACTTTGTCCAGACTTGCCAGGCTGGAATTGGCCAAAGAGAGGGATACTCATGGATCTGAGAAGACTCGACTACAGCAGGTTCGCTCACCCAACGCAGCACGAGTCACTGGGAACTCACGGAGCTGGAGCTGCATGAGGATGTGCTCATACCATCTCATATCCAGTTTGCACAAGAGAACCACCTGGCTTTCGGTGTGTTTTGGAAGAGTGTTGTGGTACAGTCCCTCTTTGGCAAAATAGTGGATGACGGATGCTAGCAGCTAGCTAGTATTTCAGTATGAGAATTGGCATGAATCAAGTCAGGTCTCGATTTGACTTCTAAGTATATCATGTTGGATCTTGATTAGTAAATGGGCCCCCCCCTCAAACAAATGGGAGATCCTCTATAATAAACTACCACCAAAACAAATCTGGGTTCCTGTGAGGATTCCTTTTTGTAATTGACTGTAGTATGTTCCTTTCAAAAAATCCTTTGTATTCTTTGCAATCCTTTCATACTAATCCCGTCCACCTATTAATAAACACGGCCCTCCCCCTATTTAAAAAAAACTCGGTCGCATTTTTTCTAATAGGGGGTCCCTGAAATCGGGGGGCTCCAAAATAGGGTCACCTGGAAAGAGTTTCAAAAGCAAAAAATAATCCAGGAAAAAATTGTATAAACTCCTTTATTAAATTCGTATCAAACATGCAAAAAACCTCCAGATCGAAGGGTCTTCCTTTTCCCCTACAAAAACCTTCATTAGAATAGTGATTCTTCAGTAGACTAACAGCTAAAAGCTTTCGAAAGGTGATGTTGCTGTGCCATGCGGTGTTGCATGACCTCGGTGGCAAGTGCGTTTGCGTGAGTCCGTGCCATTGGGGGAAGGAAGGCCTGCTGGTGTAAGCGCGGCGTGTCATGGTGGAGTTTTGGGGAACCTAATAAAGAAAACTACCCCCAAAATCGACAATGTTGGTAGTTTAGTAGCGGCTTGAAAGGGCGGTAATTTAAAACCAAATATAAACCGAGTTTAGGGGTTCGGACGTGGTGTTTTTTTAATTGGGGAGTGTTTACTAATAGGTACTCGGGATTACTACATAAAGGATTGATTGAGGAATTGATGGCTTTGGGAAGCTGTGAATTTTGAAGAATCTAAGAAGAACTATAGAAACCTATACTTATCAATACCCTCAGCAAGCCAACCATTGGCTTAGTCGTATTAAGAATTGCTATTGTTTTTCTTCAGGAAAAAGCTTTGCACATTGTTGAGGATCACGGGCCTTCTTGGTCTACTACCTTGAAAATTTGTCTACGAGCAATCTTTACATATAGGATTGATTAGGGAATTGATGGCTTTGGGAAGCTGTGAGTTTTGAAAAAGAACTATAGAAACCTATACTTATCAATACTCTCAGCAAGCCAACCATTGGCTTAGCAGGATTAAGAATGACTATTTCTATTTTTCTTCAGGAAAACGCTTTGCACAATTGAGGGCCCTTAAAACAAATTCATTATTGAGGATCACGGGCCTTCCTGGTCTACTACCTTGAACATTTGTTTAGGAGCAATCTTTTCATAAAGGATTGATTAGGGAATTGATGGTTTTGTGAAGTTGTTTGTTTTGAAGAAGAACTGTAGAAACCTATACTTATCAATACCCTCAGCAAGCCAACCATTGGCTTAGGCGTATTAAGAATTGCTATTGTTTTTTCTTCAGGACAACGTTTTGCACAATTTAGGACCCTTGAAACAAATTCATTATTGAGGATCACGGGCCTTCTTGGTGTACTACCTTGAAAATTTGTTTAGGAACAATCTTTACATAAAGGATTGATTAGGGAATTGATGGTTTTGGGAAGCTGTCAGTTTTGAAGAAGAACTATAGACACCTATATATACTTATCAATACTCTCAGCAAGCCAACCATCGGCTTAGTAGTATTATTGATAATTAATATTTCAATATTTCTATGTTTCTAAAGAAAATATACTTACAGTAACCCTAAATATTTTTCAGATAGTAAAATATTAGGTTCCCTTCCAAAAATAGCATAATAGAGGACCCTTAAAACAAACAGGGTGTCAAGAATTATTTTTCAACAATTTAGCATTATAGAGGGCCCAACTTGCATTCCTTCCTCGATCACCTGTGGCTGAAGGAGCATGAACAGCGAGTTCAGGCTGGAGTTTTTCTTTTGGCATGCCATGCCATGCCGTTTGTTTTTCACCACTGGTCAAACACTTCACGCCTGATTGAGAGTTTGCATTTGATCTCTCGAGTATTGACATCTTTTCGCACGATCGTCGCGTGCAGGGCCTCCGTGATCAACACACGATCGACGCACGTCCAAGGGCTACTATCGACGCACGTCGCCGCGTTGCAGTGGCAGGAGTTGCGCACTAAGCACGAAGATGAACGTCAAGTCTTGAGGCTGGTGAAGAAATCTTAGCAGACATCGTTGCAGAGTTGATGCATTTGCGATGTTTTGGACAGGAGCAAGCAGGATCAAACAAGAGAAGAACACAATCGAATGGCCGAGGAGAGATCCTTCTCAACTAATCTCAACTATGTTTTCAGTTCAGTGATTGTGAATTGAATTTGCATTGTCTTGCCATAGTCTTCCATGACAAAACCATTTGCTATCTCAAGTCTCATGCTGTCTCTGTTTGTGCCGGATCCGACACTACAAGATCATCGATCGCCGAGATCGCGCCAGGAGATGCGCCAGAGACTGGAGAATGAACGGCAAGAGCACAACCGAACCAAGGATGATGACAAGGTGAGATAAGTACAAGATGATGGTAATTTATGCCTTTTCCGCACAAGGTATGCTGACCATATCTGACCATGATGCTTTACTTATAGATCTTATCGATCGCCCTTGGCTTTTTGGGCACACAACTTACACAACTCGATCAACACACGGTTGAAACCAATGGTGCCATTTTTGTGGGTCCTTCGAGTCGCACCCTTTTCGTTGGTCCAATCACCACACGGGACACGGGTCGCACCGCGGGTCGCGCGAGCTGGTCGGTCACCCAGGGCCGCCTGTTGGAGCATTCACGCACCGCGGGGCTGCTGGAGGGTAAGATCATCGCCAGCACTGAAGAGAACAAGGCCCCCTGGTGCGACTGGTTGGGGTGGTTTCGAAGAGGGTAGCAGCGTACCACCTTAACCGTTTGTGGTAAACGGAAGTAGAAAGAGTAGACAGGAGCTTGTGCCTTCTCCTTTGAAGGATTCACTGGACTCGACCCTCGCTGTTGTCACCATGAAATGCGGCCGACCCGTTTTGATGTTGGCATTTCAAGGCTTTGCGCCTCAGATTGGAGACCTTGGAGGAGAAGGCGTCTTGCGCGGTCTCTTCTTCTTTCTTTTTCGGTTTAGGCCGATGCGCCATGGTGTTCTATGGCTTATCGGCGTAGGAGAGGAGACGAGAGGATCCAGATCCAGATCAGATCGATCCGCCGAGAAGTGCAACTTCGACCGATTAGCCAACTTCGACCGTTGAGGCACATGAGACTGAAGTGGCCATCCGGACCAACTTGGAGGAGTAGCTGGCCGAGCAATTACTTTAATTTTTTGGCGGGGGCCGTTTGTTGGCTTTTGAATGGGTCGTTTCAGGCCACGACGTCCAGCCATACGTCAAAGCATGGCTGGAATTTGGAACCTTGAGCCCCCTCTAACCTTCTTTGTTGCATTTTGTTTCTTTTGTTGAGGATCTTGATAATTTCTGACAATTTCTGTGGTCCTTAATAATCTTAATGTTTTTTGGATTCCACACTCAACTCGCGGTCACTCCCGCCCCTCAAAGCCCTTCCACATTGTGGGGTGCCCGAAGGAAAGAATGCGATGAGGGATGTGTATGAACAAAGAAACGCGCAGTGACAACAGATAACCACCTAAGCGGTTTAAGACGCGGTACAACGCGTTTTTCCCATTAGAGCGAACGGCATTCAATTCGAGTATCGAGCGAAATCAAACAAGCGCATGGGCTTTTTCAATGGATATTATATCACCACCCCTCAACTGCTGCAACTAATGCGGGGTCACCCCCCGTAATTGTGTTTGGTTTCACACCCCCCCCACCCCCATTTGTAAGAAATCTAAGTTGGATCTCAGGGTTTGTGCGGTCGACAGTGGTCCTTATTGCCATTTGGCTTCAATGTTTTGATGGTCCCCCAATTTCAACATCACAAAGAGCCAGACAAGTCAAGACACAGAATGTGAGAAAAAACCACACGTACGTCGCAGCAAGGTTTATCATGAACCATAAGCACCACAGGTGAGACGACATAGCTCAGATTTGCTCAGATCAAAGACGCATCATGTCGTCTCACCATGTCCAATGGATTGCATCTTCACACTCCAGAACCAACCCTGCAGGGTTCCAGGTCTGTCAAGAGTTCGAAGGGAGGGGAGCCCAAACCTTGGATAATCTTGGACCAATTGGAATCGCTTACGCGACGCCCGGGCGGAGACGCAAGAGTTCCAACTACATTGCGAACTACTATCGCGCATGAAAAATATTATGTGTGTTGGCAATGCTTGGATATTGCTCGTTCTATAGCATTTCTGTTTCATTTTTTTTCGGAACATGAGGTGAAAGTGACCAAACACTCTGCAACAACTCCAGCGTCACTGATAGAGGACCCCCTAGACAAACGGGCATGATGAGGTTATCACTTCTGAACAAGCGCAATTTGAAAGGTGGGTCAGAAGGAAGGTCTTCGAAGACCGCAAATTCTGTGAGGGGTGTAAGACCATGGCAGTTGAACAACAAGAGGGTCGGGTTGAGTCGGCTCTTCATTCGCATGGAATGAACGCGGGATCATGCAGCCTGGCCAAGGGAGAAGGTGTTGAGGGCAAAGATTCGTCAGGCTTGGTGTGTGAATTTGTGGCAGCCTGCCTTGTGGCCACGCTAGTAGTAACAAGTGCCACGCTAGTAGTAACAGGTGCCTTACTAGTAGTAACAAGAAGCTAGTAGTAACAAGTGCCACGCTAGTAGAATTTTATGCGCTGAGCGCGACCGACCCCATTGGTAACCGGTTCGTCCCTTGGCTTTGACCCCTTTTGCGCTTTGCTCGTTTTGGACCCTCCGTTTTGTTGTTTGGACATCGGTTCGTTTGGACGTGTCCGAAACCAGCCGAGCTTCAGTTGTTTGGAACAATCATGAGCAATTCATCCATGTATTTCACCTCCAAAAATGGTCTTTTCTCAAAGCACTTTCTCTTTGTCCAGTAGTTTTTTTTTCAATTTTTTCCATTTGTGGCTCAGTGTCTTTGTTAGTTTGATCACAGCAATTCCTAAGAAAAATACTAAGATAGAAAAGAGAAAGCATGTGTTCATGTGTTTTTGTCCTTTTTTTAAATCTTCCTCCTCTTGTGTTCCTCTTTGTATACAGTTCAATGGATTCCCAGGCCCCTGCGACCATGGGGCCGCGAGTTCGCAACGTCAGTTCCATCGAGTTCCGTGGCACCCCTCCATCCACAGGGTCCAGAAGACGGCCCACAACAACAGACCAGGAACCAAAAGGCCATGGCGGCCATGTCCCCTGGGCCACCGATAGCGGGTTTTCCACACATGGCGTGCGGTGCGGCGCGGGGCACATGATAGCGTCCCCTTTTGACACCCTATCTCATTGGCTCCTTAAACTCATTTAAACTCACACCAGCTTGACGGCAGTGAATGGACCTCTGTGCAAATGATTGGAGGCGCAAACAGAAGTTGCCCGCATGAAGGATGACATGGACAGCAAGCTGAAGGCAAGCAGCCCGAATGAATCGTTACGTACGAAATGTTTCGCTTCCCAAACTCAACTGGACCATCCTGTTTGGGTGTTCAGACTGATCGAAGTAGTAGAGATATTAGATTCGCATTCGTCCCGATACAGTGCGGTGCCTCGCAGCACGATTCTCTAGGCGGCTGCAGATGAACTGGATGCACAGGAAAGAGAAATGCAGGCCAGGCAGGTATGAAACGATGTTGCAGATGTGTTGACCTCAGGTGGCCGAGACACCCAAATGGGATGGTTAGTGGTATGACAGTGAGCTTGGCTGCGGCTATCTGTGAGATAGACAGTTTGCAGGTAGTGGTACATTCTGTACTCTACATGGTGAAGCAGGCGTTTTTTTTCTTCAATACCATATCATCAAATACAACTCAATACCCACAACGTCAAGCACAATGCTCCCCAGTCAAAGGCAGATCCATTGTATAGAAAAACACAAATTGCAAAAGCCTTTTGCTTTGCAAGGTGTTCTACCCTTGGTTCGGTATTGGGGGATATGAATCCACGTGGAAACACAAGCGAGCAGAACGAAAGAATCCTGGTGCAAGGAGCGCGAGGCAGACATGCTTCGAGCAGCCACAGGCAAGCTACAGAAGTGAGAGAGATGGATTATGGGATGATATTTCTGTTGCAGGCTGCATGCCAGAATTGTCGTTCATTCTTGTCACCCATAATTAGTATCATAGGAAACACAATTTCGAAGTTGCCTTTGTCTCTCCTTGAGCCCACGTTCCCTTCGCTCTTGCCTTTCGCGTGGAGCAGTAGGCTTCAGCCGGAAGGGACAGCCCAAGTGCGGCTGCCGTATCCAATGTGCCAAGCTCAGCTCCAAAACCGGACAATTTTGGTGGAAACACCAATTAACAGGGGTTGATCCATGTTGATCCCTTTGTATACAGGGGTTGATTAGGGTTCATGGATTCACTTGAGTGGATGGAAACATGCTGCTTTGCCTAGCCCTAAGATGAAAGGTATGACATTTGGTATTCCAGGTGATTTTCGAAGTTCTTCTGTCAACTGTCAGGGGCGGCGGTCTGGGATGGTCTCTGTGTCTGTTGAGTCTCACGTTTGGTCTTTGAGTCAAACATAAATTTTCAGGCAACAGAGGGAGTACAGTAATTACATGTATAATTACGTACATGTAACACACTGTCTTGTGGGCTTTGTCCACATTGTGTGGCGGGCAGCTGAGGAATCTCCTCCTGACTGCGGTTCCGACGAGACGATGTTCCCGCACAGAACCGGGGCGCAGGAAATGCCTTGGGCAGCTCATGAGCTGAAAAGTCCTGGGAACAATCGGAAGATTTTGGCAAAACCACTCTCCTGCTATGCACCACCTCAACGTGTACCAGAGCAGCTGCTAATTACTGACAAAATCCAGCATTTAGTTGCACCATGCCCTTCATGAAACCACGAGGTCATCGAAGCTCATGTTTCGCCGCGCACCAAAGGTGCACCTCGAGCTCAAGCCCTTTTTAGCAAAAGTCCGCCCTGCAGTGCATTCGCAAGCATTGCAGTGAGTTGGTAGCGGAGCCCCAAAGTGGGCTACCGCGGGCTGTTTAGCCCGACCTTTCGCCTGCCGATCCCATGGCCTTTCCACGAGCTGCTGGACGACCGCATGACCTTGGGGAGATGACCGATTCCTCCCTCCTGGAGTCGCAACCGCGCTTGCAGAAGAGGCCGCTGCCTGATGGCGATGAGCCCGCTGACCGACAAGGCACCACTGCAGATGATCCACCTCAGACCTACCGGATGGACACCTCATCGCAGAGCTATGAGTTCACGGACACCCCAACCGACATCTCCGTGCACTGGGTATGCCGGAACTGTGGTCATGACGGCTTCCGCCTCGACAGAGGGCAATGGCACTGCACCGAGTGCGGCCAAGCGGACTACCGCGCCAGCACCGGCGCTGATGGTCATGCAGGCTGGACGTATGTTCCCCGGCCTTCGACCGCCCAGCAAAGCTATCAACGAGCCCAATACGACACCCGATCTATGACGACTCCCTTCAGGACTGCACCAATGGGGACTATGCCCACGATGCGGCTATCGTGACGGTCAAGGACCTCCACGGCTACCTCATGGTACTGATCCTGAACCCCATCGATTACCAGGTCATCATCATGCAGAACGCCCACGGCGTCCTCCAGGACTCCATGGAGCACCAGATCCTGCACTGCCTGACGGCGAAGGGCCCCTCGGTTCTGAGCAAGCCGAGAGCGAGGCCTTCACATGGGACCCAACTGTCACTCCTTCTGAGGTGAACTTTCATCAACTACCTCAACCTCGACTTCATCAACGAGGCGCTCCTGCTGACCCACCTGGTGACCCTGATGATCCACCTGATGCTCAAGCAGCAGCCACATCACCTGGAAACGGCTCAAGACCATCAAACCGGCGAAGCCGAAGAGGTGGTTCTCGAAGATCGAGTGAGCCGGAACCGAACGACGTGATCACCCTCGAGGACATCAAGAAGAAGAACGACACCTCATCCTCGAGCAAGACGACATGGAACACCTTGAAGGGGCCCCATGCAGCCTGGGGTCAAGTTCAGGGGCGGCGCCGTTCCTCCGGTGCCTCAATGGCACTACGAGAAGGGTGACTTGCGCGCCTACCAGAAATGGGAGAAGCGCGTTCGCATCTGGATGCTGCAAGTCCAGAACTACGTCCCTGTCCGCGAGACTGGAATCCTCCTCTTTCAGTCATTGAAAGGGGAACTTGAAGAAGAACTCGAAGACGCCCCAGTGGACAAGCTGTTCTCCAACG